TGTTTTCACATCTCATCATGTCTGCAAAATGCCCATCTGTGTCTCCTGCTTCTGGTAAGAGGAAGGCAATTACTCTTGAGATGAAACTCAAGATAATCGCCCAACTGTAGGCTAAGGTAGTGTTCTGAGGAGGTTTGAGGTAGGGTAGGGCAGGGTAGCTGCGATGTTTGGTAAGTTTGGTGTATTAACTGCATTTTCAACTTACGATATTTTCAACTTACAGTGGATTTATTGGGATGTAACCCCACCGCAAGTCAAGGGGTATCTGTATTTATTTTGGAGCCAAACTTGGAAAAAACTTTTTAGGGCAGACAGAACCAATTATCTGCATACAAATAAATCTTAATAAAGTATCCACGGAACACTGAGCTCTAAGCAGTGAGCACTCCAAGAAAAACTAGCTACAAGACATACACCAAGGCAACTGAACAGTTACTTTCTACATGAGTTTTTTACTCACATCATCACCTAAAATAATTATTAAAAATACTATCACCCAATATAACTTTTGTTTTGGACTGGCTGATCTCTAGCTCATCTTTCTGACAATAAAAGAGCAAACTGGCAGGTTGTTTCTTCAGACCCCACCCAAATGGGACTGCGCCCAAAGCCTGTGCTTTAGAAGATGCAATCTTTTTGCTTTCTAACATAATCAAACTAGTCTCAGGAACAGATTAAAAATACAAGAAAACCAGGATACATCCTCGTTTTGTTCAGCTAGAGTATAGGAATTAACTTCAGGAGAGCTCATTCTCTCAGAATTCTGACTGAAGGTCAGCTGATGAGCCAGTGAGTGGCCTAACTGGACTGGCCAGTACCTGGCCCTACTAACCTGTAACTACAGGTAGCCTGTAGTTACCTGGGCCTGAGAGAACTAGATGGCAGGTTCTATGTCAGTATTAACAATCAGTGCTGGATGTGAAGCCTCTGCAGCTCAGCCCATAGCTGACTGCCCTGCCTCATGTCACTGGTAACACCGAGAACACATCTATTACTAGTTGGATTTGATAGCTGTCACTACTAAAGAACACAGAAATTTGCTTGAATATAGACAAACCATCCCTAAAAGGACATTGAAGAAGTTGATAACGTGAGCTGCTTTTGCTGAGAGAATAACGACCCTGGGGAGGACAGGGTCATACCTATATCTATATCTGTATCTATATCCTTTTTTATCTTTTGAATTTAAAAGAAACTTAAAATGGCCCTGGCTGGTGTAGCTCAGTGGATTGAGCATGGGCCTGCGAAGCACACGATTGAGGTCTGATTCCCAGTCAGGGCACACGCCTGGGTTGCAGGCCTGTTCCCAGCAGGGGACACATGAGAAGCAACCATACATTGATATTTCTCTCCTTCTCTCTTTCCCTTCCCCTCTAAAGATAAATAAATAAAATCTTATAAAAAAAGAAACTTAAAATGATGTATTTGACCAATATTTGCCTACATCTGTACAAAAAGCTGGTAGAGACAATGGTACTAAATGATTTAAAAGGAGATGATGTTAATACATATCTGTGTGTATAGAAGCATAGATTATATAAACAGAATTAAGCATACATTTCCTGCTATATCCAGAGTCTGCCAGTGAATGTCACACACTTGGACATTACAGGTCCACCAGAAAGCCCTATACCAGGGAAGAATACTGCAAGGTTAGCAGAGAAATTCTTCTTAAAACCACTTACCTTTCTTTATTCTACCTCTAAATCCGCCAAAGTTATACAATGATTTTAATTCTGTTTTCCCTATGACTTACCTAAGGGAAAGTGCAAAAATGTTATTCATATTTAATCAAGGTTCAAGTTCACGTGAAAATTCTATTTCTCATGCCAAATCTATAAATTGGAAGTCCTGTGAGATTTGGTCTGCAAGATTTTCCTAGGCCCTGGTTATCACTGAGTTAAGCTAAGGCTGCATTTCTGTTCTCGCAGAGGCCGAGACAGTGGAACGCAGCCCCTCAGGTACAAATCCTGCACCGAGAAGTCGTCCGCCCCAGTACTGAAGTTACCAGTCCTGGAGGTTCCACTGCCTCTTCCTTCCGAGTGCTCCGGTTTCTACCACTTATATTTCAGAAGTTTCCTCTGCGTTCCAAGTCTTTTATAATCTTCTCTGGTACTTGGCCATTCAAAATCCTTCTAAGATATGAGAGTTCAAAATCCTTTATCTTCAGAAGGCAGAGATAGGCAAGATAAATTGGCTGCTATTTTGTAAATATTTCCCTAAATGCATCTTCTCTCTATAATCTCAATTATAAAGTCTGAGGTCATCCTTTTATTCTCCAGAGAATAGTTTTTCCTTCTTTCCAGTTTTATAGAACTGATAAGTAGGTATGTCTTTAAGTGCCAAATCAGGGGGGGAAAAGAAAGTACTCCACGAATTCTCAATCTGTAAGCAAAGGTCTACTTTTCTCTACAACAACACCTTCAATTTTTCATTTACTGAGGCACCTTTCCACTTTAACTCTCACCCCTTCCCCACTTTATTTAAAGGAGATTAACTAGAGCTATAGAATTTGATGTAACTTATTTGTCTATTCCATCTGCATTTTAATCTGTATATCTTCATGCAGCCTCAATTTTACTGACCACCCCATTATTTTGATGCCATTTTTCCCTTAAGGGATGGAAATTTATATTTTTTATCATAGTGTTTCAAGGTTTTGTTTTCTTTTTCTTTTACTATAACTAACTAGTTCCTTTTAATAGCATTTGTACCTTTTATCCTTTTCAGCCCTATATTGACAATTCCATTCTCTGCAGTTTGGGTTTTCTTTTTTGTCTCCTTTACCCCCATTGTTTTCTCTGGATTTGTGCACAGCTTTTCTCTGTGTTGGTGTTACCAAAATTCTAAAATCAAGTCTGAAGTGCTATCTTTGCTATCATAATGAAAGTTCACATTCGAAAACACTTTTTAAATTTCAGATGTTTGTTATTTCGGTTGGTCTGTTTTTACTCTGCCATATTCCTAGTAATTATTCTATGTTGGCTCCATAAAGATTTTTTTTCCATTTTTAGGTAATGATAAAGTCTCTATTTGCAATATAAATCACTCCATCAGATCTTTATGAGAAGTTGCAGGTGGCAAGGGATTTGAATTTGATAACTTATATCCCCTGCTGCCCCCCATCCCAGACAACCATACATGTACTGTTAATCATAAATAATCTGCTTATCAGTATTTAACTGTTGATTTCTATTTAATTTACAGTCATCATTAATTAATGAGGGGTCTCTTAAGAGTATGTATGAAAAAGAGCACAGAATAAATGCTGAGATAGAAGGAGAATGAGGATTTCTGCCAAGATGGAGGCATAGGTGAAAACACTGTACCTTCTTGCACAACCAAGTTTAAAGACAACAAAGTTTTAGTAACAAAAAACTCAGCCAGAACACAGAAAATTGAACTAAACGGAAGTCCAACAACAACAGACCTTTCAGCCAGACTGGTAAGAGGGGTGAAGCCAGCAGCGGTGCCGGGTCAGGCAGGAAAGATCCACCAGATGACCCAGGTGCGCCACCCAGGCGCGCATGCAGTCCTGGGCGGATCCCAGTGAGGAGTAGCAACAGGCGGACCCACTGGAGTAGCGCGAGGCGGCAGGCTGACCAAGGTCATGCGTTCGCACGCAGATATACCAGCAAAGGAGTGAGCAGAGAGACAGACCACGCAGGCCCCAGTGGTGGGGGACCACCATTGCCTCCCCTTTGACCCCACCCCCACATACAGTGTCATATGGTAGGTGTGTGTTTAACTTTTTAAGGAACTGCCAAACTTTTTCCAAAATAGTTTTATCATTCTCATTCCTAACCACACTGTATGAGGGTTCATCTTTACTGTCCACAAGACTTGTTTTGATCTTCCTTTTACTTTCAGCCATTCTAATAGGTGTGTGGTGAGATGTCATTGTGGTTTAGCTTGCAGTTTCCTTATGACTAATAAGACTGAATGTTGAACATCTTTTTGTGTTTATTTGCTATCTGCATTTCTTCTTTGGTGAAGTACCTGTTCAAAGCTTTTTCCTGTGTTTTTTGGGGAAAAAATAGTCTCAGGGGAACCCCATTGGGGAATCACCAAAGTTCTTACCAGATCCACAAGGGGGAAAAAGAGAGTCAATGTACCTACTGAGATCCTTCCTCTGGCTGCCATCAGAGGGAGGAAGTTCAGGGCAGAGATGAGACCCGACTCCACTCTGGGCTTGTGTGGGTAGGGAGGAGGCAAGGGAAAGAGAGGCCCCAGGAACATGTCCACTGCTCCCTTGCCTTCACTTCTGCTGTGGGGAAGACCTCTGCCAGCCCCCAACCTGCTAGGCAGAGGTGTGGTTTCAACTGTATTCTAGTGCCAGCCATCAGACTCACCTAGTGGCTTAATGTAACACTCACCTATTGGCTATAGGCTGCTGGGGGTGGAGCCCATAGCCTATCAAGCACAAAGGCTCTCTTTGGTCTGAGTATAACTCTCCAAAGAAGGCAGGCAATGGTGTGCCTGCAGCAGGAAGTATGTGCAGCAGTCCTGGGTGGTAAAGGGAAATGGGCGAGGCACCATCAGTGTCCACCCACTTCAGTCCCCTGTCCAGTTTACTCCTGTCCCCTTCCAGCCTCTCTCCTGCTCTTTCCAGGGTAGGAACCAGATGGCCTATCTGCATGCGGATGCAAATATTAAGAGAGGGTTTTCACAGGGACAAAGTCTGTGCCACTTTCATGTGTGCTGAGGCCCGACCTCCTGCAAACTGGACTCCTCTGGCCGTCTCCTCCTTTCCAGGCCCAGGAAAAGCTCTCTTGCACATTCACCTCGCCTCCTATCTCCTGCCTGACTACCGAGGAATTAGGTCATGCCCTTAGCTTTTAACCTGTTTCTTTTTCTGTAGATGACCAGGCTTTACAAAAAAAAGCAAAGGTCCCATCCTTACCACTTTATCACTTAAATCACTTAAAAGGGGTTTGTGACTTTTAACTAAAAGAATACTTATTACGGCAGAAATACTACATGTCAACTAAGATACCCACACAGCCTTGGTGGTTCTGGGAGTCCGCTAAGCACAGTATCTCATGAGAGTGATTGAGTGTCCGGCATCTGAATCTCTTACCTATAATAACCAAAGTAGGTAGAAAAAAAATACCATTTACAATTGTTCAAAATCAATGAGATATTTATAAAAGGTCCAGCACAAACAACACCCTTTTTTTAATTAAAAAATCATAAGCATGTATTTCTGTAACAGAATACACATTCAAGCATATCCTATGACATTTTGGGTAAAATGTTCAAATTAAAACTATAAATCATCACACCCACATTATTAACTTATGAACCACAATCAAGCGGGCGTTACTTCTGCTGGACCCTGTATATAAATTTAACAAAAGATGCGTAGGACTGATATGCTAAAAATACAAAATGCCAGTTAAAGGGGAAAAAGTAAAAAAAAACCCTAAATCAGTGGAGAGACATAATGTGTTGAAAAGCCCACTAAAGCACAGAAATCCATTCTCCCTAAATTGATATACAAGTTTAATAGAATTCCTATTAAAATCTCAGCAAGATTTTTGTATAAACAAGATTGTTCTCCAATTTATGTGAAGAAAACTAATAATTTTGAAAAACTAATGAAGTGGGAAGAATCAGTTCTTGATATTGAGGCCTGCTATACAGCTACAGTAATCAAGACAGTGTTATCGGTGGAGAGACAGACTGTAGATCAATGGAACAGAACAGAGAACCTAGAAATCAGCCTACGCAGGCACAGCCGACTGATCTTTGACAAAACACAGTGGCATTGGACAGAGAAAGGGTAGTCTTTTCAACAAATGGTGCTAGAGCCTTTGGTAGCCATGGGCAAATCTATGAACCTCACAACTTACACAAAAAGTCACTCAAATGGGTCACAGATTTAAACACACAACTATAAAACTTTCAGAGGGGAAAATCATTAGGGCTTAGGTGCTTAGACTTGACACCCAAATGATGATCCATAAAAATCAATAAATTGGACTTCGTCAAAGTGAAAAACTTTTGCTCAGTAGGGACACTGTGAAAAGGCTGAGAACACAGGCTACAGACACTGGGAGAAAACAGCTGCAGACCCCACGTGACTGACAGAGGGTGCGTATCAGAATGCAAAAAGAACCCCCAAATCGCAACAGTTCAAAAAGCCCAACGAGAAGACGGGCAAAAGACATGAAGAGACACTTTATAAAGAGGATATAAAGTGGTAAATAAGCACATGGAAATATGCTCAAAACCTTAAGCTTTCAGGGAAATGCAAATTAACACCATGATGAGACGCCACTACACATTGATTACAACAGCTAACACAAAAGCAATGACAATACCACACACTTGAGAGGATGCGGAGAACCTGGATCTCATAGGTTGCTGGTGGAAATGTAAGATGGAAGAGCCACTCTGGAAAATAGTTTGGCGGTTTCTTTAAAAATGAAATATACTTTCCATGCAACCTAGCGATTGCACTCCAGGCGTTTGTCCCAGAACTTTCCAGAATATGCCATCAACTGTTCATGGCAGCTTCATTTATTGAATATAATAGCAAAGACTGGAAACAACCAAATATCCTACAAGTGAATGATTAAACATATGGTACCTTCAAACCATGAATTACAACTTAAAGAAAAATGAAACTGTTGATACCAGCAACAACCTGGATGGATCTTGGAAGCATGATTTTGAGTGGGAAAAAATGGACAAATCTCACACTGCATGTTTCCATTTGCATAACATTCTCAAAATGACAAAAATATAATGAGAGAGGACACTTGAGTGGTTGCCAGGGCTTAAGGATGGTGGAGAGAGAAGTAGGTGTAACTACAAAGGAGCAGCAGGACAGAGGTCTTTGTGGCAATGAAATAGTTCTGTATCCTTTTTTAAAGATTTTATTTATTTATTTTTAGAGAGGGGGGAGGGAAGAAGAAAGAGAAGGAGAGAAATGTCAATGTGTGAAAGAAACATCGATTGGTTGCCTTCTGCTCACGTCCCGTCCAGGCACCGAACCCACAACCCAGGCCTGTGCCCTGACCAGGAATTAACCCAGAGACCTTTCACTTTGTGGGATGATGGCCAACCAACTGAGCCATACCAGTCAGGGCGGAATAGTTCAGTGTCTCGAACAGGGTGGTGGTTACACAGATGTACACCAGTGATAAAATAACAGAACTATACACACGTCGTACCAAGGTCAATTTCCCAGTTTTGACACTATGCTATAGTTAAGTGAGATGTAACCACTGGGGGGAACCAGAGGAGGGGTCCATGTTATACAGATCTCCTTGTGTTATCTTTTCAACTGTGCATATACAATCATTTCAAATAAAATGGGGTTTTTGAAAATTTATATATAAGAGTTCACAGTAACTAGCACCCAGGTGAGACAGGGTTGGGTTTGATGCCCTGGAATGGGAAAGGGCTGAGCGTGTATTTTTGGCATGTGGGGAGAGCAGGAGAGAAACCAAAACACACATATGAGTTTCAACTGTGGCTTATGACACTTTTCCCTGTTGGTGGCAGGAAGTGGCAGTCAGGATGCAAAGACCTGGAAGCTCAAGGCTCTGAGGACTGCTTACACTGCAGTTTCTGGACCCTAGCGGGTCACCCACCCCACCATGGGGTTGCTCATTGTCCAGGACACAGCCAGCCCCTCAGTGCCATAACTCACCAGAAAATACATGATTTGTGCTGGTCGCAGGCAAGCATCTGGACCAACTTCTCCTGTGACCAGTGGGGGACTAAGGCTTAGATGGGACAGCAACCTTCACAGTGTCACACAGGTACATTATTGCTCAGGGTAGGGACACAGATATGTAACTCTGACTTCTGAGTGCAGGTTGCAGGAGTTAGTGATGCAGTGGTAGTAAGTATGAGGGTGGGAAGAGAGGGTGCTGGGAGACCAGTTAAGGGCCATTAAAATAGTCATGATGTCAGACAAGATGACAGGACTTACCAATAGACTGCATGGGTGTGCGTGGGAATAGGGGAGGCGTCTGGCTGTCTACAGCCCTCAGGCTGTGCACTAGTTGGGCGGAGCCACCATTTTCCAGCAATGTGGAGTGGAATGCGGAATATTTGCTAGAGCCAGATTAGGGAGGACTGCAAGTTTCATCTCAGGTCTGTTCAGGCTGAGGTACCTGGGAGGCAACCAGGGGAGTCTGTCTGGGACACACTGGGCAACTTCAGTCTGGTGCTCCAGGAAGAGGTCAGCATTAGTCATGGAAGAATAACCTTAGAACCAGGCAAGCACATTAAAAAAAAAGAAAGTCAAATTTGATCCAGCATGAAAAAAAAAGAGCTGCATCTCGGTGGAAGAGAAACCCAAAGGGAGGACTGGTTTACAAAATCCCAGGTTAGATGATCCAGTAGAGAGAGGCATCCAAAGAAGCAGGCAGGGGGTTATTAGAGTAACACTGATTCCTGCTGCCCCACTAACAGATCAGAGGTAGAAAACTGAGAGTCAGAGCCACCATCTAATCAACAATTGATTAAAAACGTGTCATTCCCAGCTCAGTTCAGCGACTCTCAGCAGCCTCCCACCTTCTCAGCCACGTTGTGTCCCGCACCCCAGGGCCTCCTTTATAGAGATTCTAGAGCTGTATCACCTCTCCTCACCCCTAGCAGGGAACCATGATTTAGGGCTGGACAAACTGACACCAAAAGCTTTGGCTCGTCCAAGTCTACTGCCCCTGGGTCCCAAGTCTGCTTTTGCACAGCCATTTGCACACAGTTTACACTGCTCTGCAAAGACTGGGTTCCTCTTTAAAGAAGGGCTCATGCCTTTCTTTCCCACACCATCTCATCTCTCCACCATAGCCCTAACAATGTGGACTTTGGTGATAAAAAAAAGAAAGAGTCTTCTGTTTGTGGGGTCCTAAGCTTCTGTATTTGTTCAAAATCCATTTATTGAGAGTCCAAAATTCCGTAATGGAAGCACAGGCTGCCCTCAAGAACTGGAGGCTGTGCCTTGCTCTCCTGCCCCTGTCTCATGGCTGGCACACCATAGAGATGCAGAGGGGTACACGGCCCAACCCCCACAAGGGTCCCAGCTGGACACTGAGCTGGCGGGGTAGGAGGAGGACTGGGACCTGAGGACCTGATAATACACTCAGCCTCGGACCCAGCCCAGCACTCAGAACTCCTTGCAACTCAACCAGAGTGACCTGTACATACAGCACATGGTCGGATAATAAAGGTCCTTAACCAGGGAAGGGTGAGTAATGCTCCCTAACCTGGAAGGCAGGAGAGACTTCATGGGACTGTGATTTGGGGACCGACACTGCCCTGGCTTTGTGGCACAGAGGAGACCCCCTCCTGTACTCCCTGCTCTGCCAGGGAGACTCCAGGATGAAGAAAACTCAAGCCTTTGAGATCAGAGACGCCTCTTCATCAAAGTGCCTCTACGCCACTCTTTGCTTGAACTTTGACACACCAGCTGAGAAGCTGCCTCAAGGGCCCTGGGCCTTTGTTATGGGGCATCTAAAAACGGAGACCAGATGACCCTTTCCGTCCCTCCCATTGGATCTAGTTAGCCTGCACTAAGCCACACTGCACAGCAGGGCTGGCTCCTGGGGCAACGTTATGTTCTCTCAGCAACCCATACACTTTAGCCAGGCCTTTGCTCCTCTGCAAAGCCTCTTGCTGACCACTGCAGTCTTCTGATGCCTCTGCTGTTGTTACAGCTCCACTGGAACCAAAGCCTCCACATGGATCCCCCCAGGGATACTCAGGAATCAGCGCATTAGAATTTCAAGGTGCCACAGGTGTGTGTGTGTGTGTGTGTGTGTGTGTGTGTGTTGCTCGTGTAGAACAAAGGAGGCATTAACCACGGTGGTCACCAGCCTCCAAGCTGGCCCCCAGTGATCCTCAGCTCCCAGCAGTCATGGCCTCATGTAGTCTCTCCACCACTGGACAGAGCTGGCCAAGTAATCAGTAGGATATTACATAAATGTCAGTCTGCTACGTGTCTTTCAGGACTAGGTCATAAAAGACATCCTAGCTTCTGCCTCACTCTCTTGGTTCACTTGCTCTGGGGGAAGCTGGCTGCCACGTCAGGAGGACACCTGAGCAGCCCTGTGGTAGAGA